CAGAATGGTAAAGGGTAAATCTCATCTCAGTGTGAAATGATACCATATAACTCCTTTGTGTCCTTACTAAAAAAGGCCAGGAATTACTGCCAGGCTCTTATCCCATTTTCTCATTCCAGCTTCAGAGGAATTTGTGTTTAAAGAAGGTGCAGTGGTATAGAGAGTAGTGTTACTCCACTGGAAGCTATTTTCAACCCTTTCAATTCCATTTCTGGATTTTAAAACTGCAGCATTTGTTGTTTTATTTAATCAAGATTTGTTTCAGCTCGCTGCTGCCATGCCTGACTCCCAGCAAAGTACAAAGCGAGTAATTCAAAATGTAAAAACTGATAGGGGGACGGTGTGTAACTCGCAACAGTGCTGTGCCAAATTGCTTGCTTGCAGGGTTAGAAGCAGGGAACACAAGCCACTCACCAGACTCAACCCAGTGGTGGCATTTTGCATACTGTGAAGTTCCAAAAGTGCAATGCTTCAAAAACATAAAATATATTTAAAATATTACTAATTGGTCTGAGAATCATAAACTAACCTAGGGAAAAAGGAAAAAAAAAAATTACTCCCTCACCCCAAACACACAAAACAAGAAAACAACACTGAAATCAACAGATTTTCCTCCTAAAAGATCCAAAGGAGGAAAAAAAAAAAAAAACATTAAAGAAAATAAAAACAACCCCCAAAAAACCCTCCTACCCTCTCCTCACTAGAGGATCAGCCTTTTCAGGACTTACTTGTACCTCAAAGCATCAATTTTAGAGCCTCTCCACCTACTGAGACTGCTCCCCAACAATCTGAAAACAGGCTCAGCACTACCCATAGAAATCTACATAGTGTTTATTCCTCTTTTTCTGTGCACATCCTAATTCTATTCAAGTAATGAGGAGGGTGAAGGTCTTAGTAATTATGCGAAGCCTTGTTTTGTTTGCAGGCTGTCTCCAATGGCATGATAAACTCCTTGATGCTCTTGCTTAAGATGCACCAAGTAGACAATAGCTCAGTAAAGCAAACAATTTCTCCTGCGACCACTGATAAAAACAGGAAGCCAATGCTCCCTCAGGGGAGCGCTCCTAAAGGGATTTTATAATACAGAACTAAGACTAGCTCCTGTAGAGCTACTTCGAAACAAATAGCTCAGGGACCAGGAGGCACAGCAGAAAAGAACAAGCTGTGCTGATTATCTTTGACCCTCAGAAAGTGTTCGGCAGCTTGAACCTATGTTACTGCAACCATACTGTAATCAGTAACTGGACTGCAACGTAGACATACCCTAAAGTCAAAGGCAGATGTTAAGCAGTAGCACTTAGAAGACCATTAATTATGGAATTAAATACATCCGTAATCACCAGAATACTTGACAATTTAAGTTTAAATAAGCAGTAATTAAGCTACAATTAGTGTTGTAACATGCAGGTTATCATTGTGATTTATATACGTAGTACGGCTTTCATATAGGGTGAAACCTACGCAAATAATTACCTAGTAAAAAGAAATGTGTATACTAAAAGAAATTAATTACTTTGTTCAGAGACTGTACTTCTAAAGGGTCAATTCTAAATGGAAACCCAACATGAAAGGTATTAACAAGCTTGGATAACTGGTGCTAGAATAATAAAATACAGTTAATTATTAAATCTTTTGAATGTTTTATATATATGTGTTAATAATATGTGGTTTACACAAATAAGTATTTAGAAGTTGGATTAAAATTCACTCCACTACACAATCTAATTTCTAGTCAGCTACCATTAGTGGGAGTTATTTTGCCTACACCTTCCATGAATCAACAGCAAAACAGACCAACATCTGTGTGTTTTTAAGCATCCTGAATTCTATAAATATTATAACTCTGAAATGTTATCATATATAATTTGTCTTCAGAGTTCTATAGTACATTTTGCTTTCATTTGCACCTAGACACCTTGTAGGTGTCCCACTAATGGAATGGAACTGCAAGGCAATCACAAACATACAGATGCCTACACGGACCACACAATTACACTGCTTTGTCCATCTACCCTTGCAGAATCTCTTCCTGAAGACTACTCATTGGAAACTACCAACATTCACACATGGCAAGTTAAAAAGGGCTCTATAATTCTTTAAAAATCTTCTTAGTGGACTTTTCTTAATTTTGTTCAATAGGGTTGGACAGCCTCTGAAAATCCCTGGGAGGAAGTCTCTTAACATTTTCGAGGTTATGTGAGAAACAAATGGATTTGTGCCAAAGGAGGTCAGAGTTTTGGAATCAAATGAATAGCAGCTTAGGAAACAGACCTGGTGCTAGACACCTGTCAAGATGGGTCCTCTGCCTTCTCCCACCATACATGCAGTCATCTGAGCTCTCACCTAACTTGGATGCACATTCTCACAAGATATACCACATATACCCTTTTCTCCTCTTCCTGCCCTTCCTCCAGCTGCTTGCAGCTAACTTCCTGCCTCCCCCCAAAACAGACTCTGTGAAGACGAAAAAGCACGAAAACAGATGGAAAGAGTTCAGAAACAATGTGAAATTGCAAGTGTCACTGGGCAAATGACGAAATTGCATCCCAGATTGCTGAGAGAATGGAGGCAACCAAAATGGAGACGTGATTGACCATAAGCTGTCAAAATGGAGACAGAGCTTCCTCAAGAATAAATTAGCTTACCCACAGTGGAACCAGTGAAGTTACACTATTTCACACTGGTTCCTTGGACTGTCACAGATATTACTACAGCATAAGACAATTTGGCACATCAACCAAATTGCAATACCTAAGCAGGTATTATTTCAGACTATATGGAGCAAACACAAAGAAAATTACTTACTATACTCCTCAGTGAAAGAAAAATTATATAAAAATGTCTGTATTTCCAGAGGCAAAGACAGCACGCGGAATCCATTACAGACAGACTCAGGCATCTATTATATATGAGCTGATGCACGGTAATTTGCAAAACTGCATTACCCCATCCAACCATATAAGGGTTCACCTACAAATAAGGATGGACAGTCCAGACGGCAGGTCTCGAGGACAAAGCAGGCTAGAAAGGTTATCTTTCTATTTCTATGGCTGAATATCTACATTACACAGACACCAGTTAGAGGTATTATATTGTTAGAAATCTGACACAGATTATTACTAACATCAATAGGATTTAAAACCGTCAGACTTCACCTGTATTTTTAATCACATGTTAATTTAGCTTAAATTTACTAGTCAGAGTCAAGGCTTCTTCAAATAAATTTCCCCTGTCCACATTAGCATTTTGGTTCAGAGCTAGTGAGGCTTTGAAGCACAATTCTCATCTTTACTAACTACTGGTCACAGCGCAATTCTTTTCCATAAAAAACAGACTCCTGAACCACCCAGCATGCTCACAAAATCTTCCAGTAGATCCCATGTTTCAAACCACCCAGAGTTATACTGACAGCCCCAAAATTGTCTGTGGGATGCTCTACTCTTCTCCCATCATCCACTGAGGCTAATAACACAGACTGGGCCTCATTATTTCAGTCAAGATAGAAAGGCTTTTTGTATCAGTGGAGGGCATTCTCAACACTAGCATCAAATTGGTAACGTGGGGTCCACAGTCTTGCAGTAAGCTCACAGAACATCTCAAGTTAGAAGGGGTCCGTAAGGATCATCAAGTCCAGCTCCCTGCTCCCCACAGGACTACCTAAAACTAAACTATATGACTAAAAGCATCATTCAAACACTCCTTGAACTCTGACAGGCAACAAAAATACACATTGCCCTTTCACCCTGAGAGATGCAAAAGTATGGCTAAATCAAGCTTGGACTCCATGATCAAGATACAGCCTCATGCTCCAGAGAGGCAGGTACTACACAGCTCCTCCCACAATACTGAGGTGAATCTCAACTCTGCTAATACGCCTGCCCTTCTGGAAAAGCTGTCAGTATTCCCTCACCAAGCCTACAACCAATTATAGGAGCTCCACATCATGAGTTCTCCCAGTGAAATTTGGTGAGATGTCCATAAACTTACCCTGAATCCTCTCCAAAAAGCCCGATGATGCAGTTGTAGCAATTCCTAGCCACCCTGGGCAGAGCACTGGATGCCAATATGGACCCTGTCAATACCTACTACACAACGTAGGAACACACCATTGGAAGCAGAGGGAAATGAATGAGTGTGCTCTTGGGTCTGCAAGTATTGTGCCCACCACCAGGTATGCCATGTTCCAAGGACAAGATGGTTCTGCTACTCCAAATGCATCTTTTGGACCAGGATTTTCTGTCAGTTCTGGGTGAAACTGTCACAGAAGGAAAAACTCCAGAAAGTTCTTCAGATTGTTTTTTTCCTTAGAGGAAAAAGGGCAAAAGGAACGGTTTCAGTTCACTCAAGACACCCTCACAGATCAGCTGCTGCAGCTACAGAAAGAAGTCCACTATAACCTCCCAGAGTACCTTGCAGTGGACATTGACAAACTCATAACGGGAATATGATGGGGGCACCAAACACCTGGTCACCCTAAACAGCACATGTAGGAGCAGAAACAAGGCTCTAAAACACGTGACACTTGTAGTTGGGGCACAAATGGATATTGTATTCAAACTGAAGACTCAAAGGATTCTGCTGCTTCTAAAGCAACAAGTATTGCTGATCTAAATCAAACTTCAAGACTTTAGTGCAATACAATCTACTGGCATTCAATTCCAGCATCCCTAATGAATTGAACGAATCAATGAATTTATTATGGAGAAACAGAGGTAATTGACTGAAATCAATAGCAAAATTTCTAAATTGTTTCAATATAATTATTTCATCCTCATTTAAAGCATGTGTGTGTATGTATAGATTTCATACAATTCTAGAAATATATGTAAACATATAAATGCAGCCATATACTTGGAAAAAAATTAGCATCATCTACAAAACTATAATTAAGATAAAAATCAACAAAACATACTGAAAGATATTTTGATTTAAAGTCTAAATCATGATTAAGAAGCAGATGACTATTATGAAAAAAAAAATTCATAAAAAGTAAAACATACCTGATAAAAATTGGGCCAGAAAGTGCTAATTGCCAGTTCTGCTCTGTTCCAAGTAGCAGTGATAGACGTGTTCCAGATAGGGTTACCAATAGGACCATCATTAACTTTCACGTATATATTCAAAGTGCCAGGGCTAGATCCACTCTTGCTTGAAACATAATAGTGGAAATCAATACAATGCGTATCATTTTCTTTCAGATGGGGCAGCAGGAGGTGAGCTTTCTGTCCCGCAAATCTCCCAGATGTATTCACCAACATGAAAGAACCTGCAAAACAAAGTCACTAGTTCAACATCTTTATTTTTCTCTCCCTAATATGGTAAAGAAAGTTAAAGTCATTAAAAAAATCATTTTTGACTGCTTCTACTAACATAATAGTAACCTGTATTCGGTAGGTATTTAATCTCAAATTACTTTTGAGAATCTCAGGATTGTTTTCCAAAGCTAGTAAATACTACAATTCTTATTTTACAGTTTGAAAAAGAGACAGACAAAAATAACCCACTTAAGTGATATGCACTGCATTGAATCTAGAGATGTTGGAAAAGAAGCAATTGTAGGTCCCAACTATGTGAGCATTTCTATACGCAGAGTCTGTATTGGGTTTGCGTGGCAAGGTTTTGGTAACAGGGGGCTACAGGGGTGGCTTCTGTAAGAAACCGATAGAAGCTTCCCCTGTGTCCGACAGAGCCAATGCCAGATGGCCCCAAGGGGGACCCACCACTGGCCAAGTCCGAGTCCATCAGTGACGGTGGTAGCGCCTCTGGGGTAACATGTTTAAGAAGGAGAGAAAAGTTACTGCACAGGAGCAATCGTAGCCAGAGAGAGGAGTGAGAATACATGAGAGAAACAACTGTGCAGACACCCAGGCCAGTGAAGAAGGAAGAGGAGGTGCTCCAGGTGCTGGAGCAGAGA